CAGGATGATGACTTTGTTAGCAGCAGCGGAGGATGCCTCTCCATCCATCTTCATTTCTAAAACCAATTCCCTCACATGAGACTCTCTTCATGAGTCATCTGTATAATCTAATTAAACTGTGGCTGTCATCTCAGCTTTTCAAACCACAGGACCACAATACTGAACTGTCATGTTGATTAACAGATATGATCACATCGACTGAGGAATGATTGTCCTGCGCATAATATTGATGAAAGCAAAAGACGCCATTACACACATTTCACCTTTAAAGAAACCAACAGTCACCGCAGTAATCTCCTCTAGTTCCCTGCAGGGATCGAGCTCCGTTAGATCATGTTAGAAGTGTTCTTGTTACTTTTGTTGTGTAATTAACAACTGAGGTGAAAAAAACATCCAATGCTCTTTTTAAATTAGTAGTGCTCTTGTCAAACTTTTCTCATTTGCAACAAGCTGAAAAGTTTTGATCGTTGTAACGATGCACACGTCTGCAAGAGTTTACCAATTTAAAAAGCGGGTCCTATTGTATAATGAACCATGTTGCTTCAGTACACGATATTCCATATTTGTGCATGTCAAGTCTATTCTTTTAAATGTTTTTGGCCTTTATCAGCTAAAACTATAATAGATAGGAAAAAATCAATAAATTGCTAAATATGAAAGTCTGTCAAGACATCTCTAACCTGGAGATAGCTGTGTTTGCAACATAGCAAATATGCAGATGAACAGTGGAGACTTTGTGGTTAAGGCTGCTGAGTAAGTTGAAATGTTTTGTGTTTTCATTTTTTGGCTCTTGAAACTGTAACTGTTTCCTCCAAGCTGACTTCGTCCGGCTGTAAGCTTCAAACTTTTCAAAGCAGATTTTCCAACATGTTACGATCAAAAAATGTTCTTTTTCTGGACAGTACCCATTTAATGTCACTGACTACATTTCTAAAAATCCCCTGAAAGGAAATTCTTTTCTGAAATACTTGCATTCTCCTCCGATTCATGTGAGCAGATGCTGTGTGTCTCTCTGCAAGTTCAGGGTTATGCTGTGCAGATACTACAGAAAAGAAAGATGATGCGAGACCTTAGATGATGCAGTTATTGCTCATTACAACCCATTACATAAGGTCGAGCTGTGGCAGTACAGTCACTAGCTAGGATGTTATCTGCAGCTGATCTGTCTGGATGCACCGGCTGAGGCCGTTTCCAGGCCTCAGCCGTTCGTTATATCCACTGTAAACAAATGTGCAACACTCAGAGTTTGGGACTGCTTTGCATACAACATGGTTTAGCAGTGTGTGCACCACCTCTCACCTATCAATTAAAACAATGCACATTTTATCTAAGCAACCACGCCGTTGCCATGCCTTTGTCTGTCCGACCACTCTAAGGTGAAAAGCAGCTCTAATAGATAGGAAAATATTTCAGTGCTGGGAATTTTTGCTGTTGTTGTTTTGAAATAGAAAAAAATTGCTCTAACATTTCTGTACAGATGGTCTCTTTCTGCTGTCCTCCCTGTGTAAAGTTAATCTCTTTTCCATGTTTAGTTGTGTCTTCCTTATTTTATTTTGGTAGCTGTTCTGTGTGTCGTGTTGAGATTAATTTCCTCCCTGCATTATGTCATTTGTCTTCAGTTGTGTTCCCCACCTGTTTCCTCTGCCCTCATTACCTCTTGTATGTATTATCTCAGTCTTCTGTTGTCCTTTGTTGTGTTGTCCCTACAGTTGTGCGTCTCCCAACTCTGTGCAAAGTTTAATTCCTTGTAATTTCTGGTATTTGGATTCCCTGGCTTTGTTTCTTTGATTTTTTTGCATTTTTGTTTATTTTCTAGATTAACAGGATTAAAGGCTTGCTTTGAGTTTCATGCCTGTCTCGTGCATCCTGCCACAGCAGAATATGACAAAAGGAAACATTCACAGCAGTTAGAGGATTTCTCTGCATTTTTCACCAGTTTAAATAGTTTGATATAAAAGTAATCACATTTAATAAGTTGCATTACGTACTTTTAATTACGATGTAATTAAAAGTATAGCATTACTTATTACTGTTTACCAGGGTAACTACTAATCCATATCACTCAAAGCACAACCATGGCTAGTAGTCTACAGAGACACATCTAATACAAAGGTTACTGTGATGAAGCACAAAGATGTCCCACTATAACCCCTTCTTCCCTTCTCATTTTGCTGTTTGCTTTTTGTTTTTCTGTTGTTATTTCTCCTAAAAATGATAGAAATAATATTTATATTATTTAGATGTGCCAGTAACCAAGAGGGATTAAGAACCTCAAACCAAAAATTAGTACCTTAGAAAATATACCTGTACAGTAGGTGTCCCTCCATCATGAATAAATTAGAGATAGTCAGAAATAATTGGAGGAAGCGTCCAAGACATTTGACACCAGAGACCAAAAATAGCCACTCTGTCTCGATGTCTCCCTCGTCTGCAACCTTCCTTCGTCCACACTCTAACAAAGTCTTTCTCCTTTTCATATTTGGGGGCACAAATATGGGCTGACAAGGTGGCACGGTGCCTTTCGACTGCAGAGCCAGAACTGTGTCACCGCTCCACACAGGAAGGGTTAAATGGGAGAATCACTGACTTCAATGAGCCGGCAGCAATGTCCGTTTTACGGTTCCCTCGCTGAGCGGACTTTATCATTGGTCTCGAAGCGACTACGTGACATCAGTCAATAATTATCGACCATCCTCACATGAAGTTCACTTTTGTCCGTCACGACAAAGATTGTTTTATTAGGAAATTGCAGCTGGCCATGAAGCTCTGGAGACACTCAGCAGTATTCTGGCTCTCAGGTCTCAGAGAACCAGCTGTGAGAGTAATTCTGTTTATGAGGCTGATAATGAGGATATCAATAATTTTAACTGTATAGACACTGTGTGTCTGGCTGAGAAGAACTTTAGGACAATGTACTAGGTCCATCTCAGAAAGCTGATAAATGGATGTCTCTTAGACACCAGCCCTTTTTGTAGCTCCAGTGTTTGATGTTTCTTAGGGATGCACCATTTTCTTTGCTTATTCTTGGCTTTGAGTGTTTCGTCCCTTGTACCCCCTTACAATTTGTTGTTTCTTTCAGTTCAGTCAAGACCATTATAGTTGACATAAAGTGTTCTCCCATCATAAACACTCACCAATCAAAAACAATACTCAGGTAGGCTTTGGCATTTAAACAATGGTCAGCTGATACTAAGGGATCCAAGGTGTGCCAAAAAAAATTATCCCTGACACGCTTACACCACTGCCACCAACTTAGATGGATGTTTGTACCATATTCTGATCTTACCTTCTAAATGTCAGAGTAGAAATCGAGACTCATGAGACCAGTGTGGTCTTCTGCTCTTGTAGCCTATCTGCGTCAACGATGCTCTTCTGCATATGGTTGTAATAGCTGATTATTTGAGTTACTATTGCATTCCTATCAGCTTAAAGCAGATAGTTGAGTTGAGTTGAGTTGCTTCTATGCAAAGCTGATAGTAGGAACAGGAGCAACTTAAACAGCTAAAGTGACTTAAATATTGCACTCAATATATTTTGCAATTGGATGTTTAGAAGGGTATAAACTGGGCCATCAAGCAATTTGGGCCAGCACTGAGATTATCAGCTGTATCAGCTGATCCATCAGGACTGTGGGCTAGGTGAAATCTCCACAAGCCTGTCTGGATTCAGACACTTTGCCCCATTCATCCTGAAAGATCCTGTCAAGCTTTGTTAGATTACAGCGATGTTGTTTGGGTATCCAGTCGAATGAAGAACATCGGTGGAGTGCACATTTGTATTTGGGTGATTGCTAGATGTGTAGAGCAGAAGTACCAATAAGAGATGTAGAACTTGAGAAAAGTAGCAGCGCATTACAAAAGAGAATGATGACAGTGTGACAAACCGAAAAAAACAGCAACAACTCAATTTTATTTTGGCTTCAGCTTTCACTCTGAGGGAAATTAAAGAGCTATCAACATGAAATGAAGTAAAGTCAATAGAGTAGGAGGCAAATATGTAACACAAATGTGGTCAAAAAGTTGCTGTTCTCGTTAGGTGAAACTGAAAGGTGGTGTAGCCAATAGTAACAAGTAACAAAAGTAAAAGCTGTAGGTGGTGCTTTCCATTTAAAAATACTTTGTTCCTGTTCAAGCAACCCCAGGATTTAAATCCCCCTGCTGATGAATCTTTACACCAACTTTACTGATGCTCCTGAAGAAAAATACAAAAGGCGTGAATAAAAACAGACTTTAAAACGTAAAGTTTTAAAGTCTGATGAGAAATTGTTGTTTCTTCTCCTGTTTATCTTATTAAACAGGAGAAGAAGAGAGGGAGGGGGGAGACTGAAAAAGCCTTTCATCCCACTATGAGTGAATTACTGCAGAGAAAAATACTCCCAAATCCAACACAGCTGAGCAGCCAACAAGAAATGGAGTCAGTCAGGAGCAGCTCCCAAGTGTGAATTCAATGGACTGAATAAACGTGAAGAGGTGTGCTGCTGAGAGAGTGTCTATACCCAGAAAACGCTGCCTGGTTGGAAAACTTACACAACAATAAACAACCTCCATAAACACTTCAAAGGGAGAAAAAAGTTGGAAGAATGAAGTCAAAGAAAGGCGAACCGACCGAGAGAGACAGGCAATTTGTTTCCAGACATTTGGAGGCGGGAAATGAGATGGAGGTCAGGGTTACACTTTACTGACTGCAGGAGAGTGTGGAGGAATGAAGCTCGTCTGAATGGCAGCCAAGCATTACACAACAATATTCACCATCTTGAGGCTTTTTCAGCGCTCAGTCATTCAGCGTTTCAGATGATGGGTTTACTGTTTGCCATTTCTGAAAATGTAATTTGATTCTGTAATTTAGTATTTTACATATTTTATATTATTCATGTGAAAAGTTGTTGTTTTTTTTTAAACTTCTGCAAAACCCAGTGGAGCAGAAAACGTAGTTATTGTTGAAGCTTTTAAATCCCACCAGAAAAAAAGTCAAACAGATAGTTTTCATTGTTGCGATCTTACCTCATCATCCTTACAGGCAACATCTGCCAGACTGCTTGTTTCACCAAGAAGACTGAGATCCAGCTCACTGGGACCTGCAGACAGAAAAATCCACAACAATCTTAAAAACGTCATTTGGTTTCTTGTTATTTATGTCACTGTGCATTAGATTTTGAGGCTGAGCCAAACAGTGATTAACATATCTCCATGTAAAATGTATTTTTTATTTTATATTATTTTCATTACTTTTTAGGTTTAAAATTACTAATCCGAGTCTTGATGCTCAGCAAATTCCCTCCACTATTGGCATTATCAGGAGGGAATACAGTCTAATGTACTTTACTCACTTTACTACATGAAAACCATTGGATGCAAGATTTTGCTGGGAAATCTTAAATATCTTAAAACTGGCAAAAAGAAAAAAGAAATTAAATATTAATCTTTGTATAAACGAGGTCTAATTTGCATCATTTTTGCTCTATCTACTACCTTTCACTGCTATTTCTGTGCAATTTTAAGTTTTCAACAGGAAAAAAACCCCCCCTCCATCAGAGGAAGCGCCACGCAACACCAGCATCTTCCCTAAGATGGGCATTCATGCCATTTCAAACTTCCTAGAAGTTTTTCCTATAAAAGCATCCTATGTGCAGGAACAAGCCAGATCTACAGAAGCTTCACTGTACAACCCACATCCAATACTGGTGTGCACACAAGAGCTGACATCAAAAGCTGAAAAGTAAAACCAATGAAAAAGTGCCAGAAACTGAAGATCCTCGAATTATGATTCAGGCCTGTCTTCAAAAGTGAATCAGTTCCTATATACTCGCACATTAAAATGCAAAACTTTATCAATAAATGCTTCCATGCGTTTGGATTTTGTTAAGGCTGAGGTTTACGGTCATGCCAGGTTTGACGCATTTGCACACAGAGGAAGGTGTCTGCTTAGCCTCACCTCTGTAAATTGATTCAGTGACTTAAATAATATTTAGTTCAAAGAAGGCTGTGTTTCTGTTTATTTGTATGGTATTTAGCATGATTAGCAGATGTCTGTATCAGTGCATTGTCCTTGTACAGTTTTTAGATGCTGCTTGCTAACCAAGCTTGTGAGCATTGGCTGATTACATCCTCTTTACCAACTCTTTTTCAGATTTGGTCATTTACAGGTCCAGCAGAAATAGTGACAAGACTCACAATATAAGGTCCACAAACATAACAGACACTACGTAAAATGTCTCAATACTTCCAGTACTGCAAACACAGAAAAGTACAAACTTTCCTCTTTTGTTTGACATGTGTAGATTTTACATATATTACACACAGATTGCACAATCACAAGCCACTTTCATTTTGCAGAGGACATGTGCACGTCTGCATTTTGCATGTAACATAACAGCATACATCTAAGTTAATTTTGCTATCATAAACACCTAAACCTGAACAGAGCCTGAAGTTCCTGCTGTCAGAAAGCAGACAGGAGAAGATGCAGTGATAAATTCAAACACATGGCAACGTCATCCCCTTCCACAGTGGAAATGGGCTGTGAACAACACTTCCCCTCAACAGGTTTTTTTTTCAGTGCCTGCTGATTAGAGAACAGAGTTAGATTGTGTGATGATACAGCTTCAGACCGTCAAGTGGATTTGAGGGAGACGAGAATTTCTTAGATGCATTATGATAAACAGTTCACAATCTAAGAGCCGGCAACATGTCAGAGTGCATTTTGCCCCTGCAAAGGGAGCGGCTGAGGTATGACTGTGTGGAGGGTTTTGTTTTGCTGTGATGGAACCAGTGACGTGCAGGAGGTAGAGGCCACACTTGTCAGCAGCACTTGAGTCTGGCATGCATACATCTGCAGTAGAATAGAGAGTATGCTTAATATCCACTGGAGAGGACATTTTTCTTCCGTAATAATCACGTAGGAGGTGAGGCTGCGGGACAGCAGCGGCCTCCCCTCTCCTCCTCTGGTACTAGGAGCAGCAGATGGACTGAGCAGCAATCTTTAGATGTGACCTTAACTTCAGCCTATTTATTTTTAGCTTTCACTTGATCGTTTTGTCTCCCGCATCTTCTTCTACATCAGCAGATTGGTGCAGATTAAAGGCATCCGCTGATCCACGAAACAGTAAAGTTGAAGCGAAAATGCACACCCACGTGACCCGGAGATCTCTTTTTTCTTCTTAAGCGTGTTACAAAAATAAATCTTTCACAATGCATGCACTCCTCTTGCTTTTTCTTTTGATTCCTGGGTTAACACCTACTGGGAGTCTCTGTCATGTACACACATATAAATGCATCTGAAAGGGCACATTAATTATCGTACATATGCAATCTTTGTGAGAGTCTACTGGTAGTATAATATTTTTACTTAATAAAGATCCGATTCCTGCAAAAATCATTTGGAGCAACCATTTTTGAAGATTCTGCACGATTTGTATCGCTCAAGTAGTGTGAGGTACAGTTTCCCCCCTATTTCTGTTATTTTTAAGTTGTGCTGTGAAGCAGACTGCTCTCAAGTGTGCTGTGAGGATCAGCAGAAGTGTGTCAGGCAGCTGTCAAGTTGCAAGAGGCAATTTTGATGTGAAGGATTGTGGGAATGTTGGCCTTCCTCAGTCATATTAACTGATTGGCCTTTATCACTCAATGTACAGATTGTGATGGAAAGCGGGCATATGGGTGGTCTGAGGATCAATTTGACTTCAATTCCTCACTGCAGGCAAATATCCAGGAAAACTGGCAGTTTGATTGGTTGTCAAATAGCCAGTGCTTATAATCTGTCCCTTGAATCCCTACTCTGCTTCCTGCTGTGGCACAGCTGTGTCTGAGCTATGTAACATGATATGATGAATCACAGGCGTTAAGCTAGCAGATTTCCTAGTCAGTTATATTTATAAAGTCCCACGGACACAAGATGTTCTCAGAAGGCTTTGTAATCCCTGTAGCATACAACCCTCTCTACGACCCAGAGTCTCCCATCACACACTTCCACTCCAGTATTTCCAGTGCTTTATTTATCGGATGCTTTCAACTATTTTGCTTTTTTCTTGATATTCTCAAGAAGATGTCACAAACTAATATGGATCTATTTATATTTCTGGATCGAGGAATCATCAGCTTTTAGCTTCAGTAAACATTTTCAGTCTTGTTGCATACAAAAAGTAACGGAACCACTATTAGCACATTTACCAACCAGTTTACCAAAACACGATTCAGTAGATTTATGCAAACTTTGCTCTACAAAAAAACAATGTGTTGTGTGGGCACATTTTATGTTAATAAAGCGTAGGTGTAAATTTGATAAGAGCTCTGCAAACAAAACCAGATACTTTTTGCCAGATCAATCCTGTGCCAATGGTAATATTTTTATTTTAACCAAAACTTGTTGTTTATCACTTATGAAATCGGTGGAGAATCACCTGCAGGGCACTGACTGATCACACTGTACCTTTCACTCAAACATGACGTGTGTCCCGACGGGAAAGCGTCTCTGACAGTACATCGTCAGGTTTTACATAATATATAACCTGTAACTGTCTGAGTGCTCAGGCTGAGTCTAACCTTGTTGATTCTGTGTTTCTCACAAAGCACGGATAACCCTGCTTCACTGGTTGCTATGCCGACCTGTGTGGTAAGCAGGCAGCTGGTGGGTGATGTTTCTGGTTTTCACTTTTTTTCCTTCTTATGAAGGTGGACTATTTTGGAGAAGCATTTGTGCACTGTGCACATGTACGTTTGGCCTGAGGGTGTTTTTTAGAGGGACTGTAGGTATGATGGAGTTTGAGTCAACTGCAGCCTTTTCATCATCATTAAAAATCTATTACTGTAAACATCGCCTTCCTCTTCATTATACAGCCTCACATTTGTCTCTCTGCCACACACAGTTACTAGTTTTTGTTCACATGAGTAGTTAAAGTTGATTGACAGAGTTGCAGGCATCGACACTGTCTTAAGTGTTCAGTGTTGCTGCAAAGTAATTGTAAAATCCAAAATGTGGACTCCACAGATGGCCATCAAGGTGGCCATCCAAGGTTTCACCCATTCATTATCAGACCAAATATAAAGCACGGTCACAATCCCTCCCACTGTTCCTGAGCAATATAAAACACTGAACGGTAATTCTTGACCTCTTGAAATTGGATTCAAAGATGAGCTGATGAGAAATTGTTGGTCAAACATTTGTGCCGAATATGAAAAGATTCCCTCAAGGCGTTCCTGAGGAACTGCGTTGATAAAAATGGAGTGAACCATGTATTAGATTTTCTTTTATAATTTATACTTTAACAAAATAAAATAGAATAAAAATGCACAGGAAATATCTCTAGCTTTAGTCTTCGGGCAAATTTGTTAACAGAAGACGCATAATGAGGATTTGGTGAGTGCATGTGTTTATTATTAAGACTGGAATATCTATCCCAGCAGTCCTAAAGCCAGAGGCAGTGTGACCCTGGACATCACAGGGCTAATTCACTTCATTCATAAAAAGTTTCCCTTTTGATATAGTCATATATTTATTTAGTTGAATATACCTATGCTTGCATTTTTGTAATCACGTTAACTAATTCAGAGGAGGGTTGGTCTGTTAGTCAACTTTTAGCTTTCTATAATCCATAACTGTACATAAACAGTAATTTAAAACTAGTTGTTCTGCTAAGCGTGTTTATACTGTGAATTACTTTATAGCCTTAAATTAAAGTTAGCAAACGCTGTTTCACGAGTAGATCAATCAAAACCAAGCAAAGATCGGGGTGATGATCTCAGGAAAATGACGATTTGGATTTTCCATTTGAAACGTTTTTTTCCAGGGAGCATGAATGAGAACAGAACATGAGTTTTTATATAAGCTGGATATTTTATACATATGATTTATTCTGCATTTAGCTCTTGCATTCATCTTTTTTGCAACACATAAACATGTTTTAATTAATTATAAATCTTTTATTTGCCAAAACTACATGATCGCTAACACAGCCCATCCTAGTTGTCTCATTGGCAGTTTGATATGTTCATGAGGTTGGTTGTTTTCAATCCTGTTCTCATTTGAGGTGTCAGATTGTAGGAACAAATCATGGTAAAGACAGAAATCTGTCCCGAAGAGACGTATTTGTGATTTAGAGAAGACAGGAGCAGTTACATTTATATTACTTGGTGCTGTTTACCTTCTTTAAAGGCTTATTAGGGATAATACTAGTTTTATGTGTGACCATAAAATGCCTTGAGGTGTCTCAGTGCTTTACAAAAACAAATTTTCTTCTTACCAGCTGCAGGCTCTTTGGAGGGAAACAGCTTATTGTCCAAAGTCATGCCGATGTCACAGAAGACCTCCTCCTCGTCTCGGTCAGCGTCCAACTGAAAGAGAAAAAAGTTTGAGCTTTCTTTGAAGATGACCTAAAACCTCTTTTATTTCTTCACAAAGTTTGAGGTAGGGCTTCACACAAGTTATGACCTGAACCTGAAACGCTCTAGCCATACTCCGTCTGTTAATCCACTGTGACATCAAGAACGAGCCTCATTATAAGATCAAACATTAGAAACCAGCTCTGATGCTCAGAGCTACACTCTTGGGTCATTTGGTATTCAGCGTACACCGGAAGCTTTAATAGCACTCGATTAATTAACTTTCCTTCTGTGTCAGCTGGCCTCTTTCAGATTATTCAGAGGCTGTCTGACTTTCTTTGCACATACAGTACTTGCAAATTGACCATGAAGAATTTGGTTTGTGAGTGAACTGGAAGCTGACTGATGCAGACTTCTCCTCCGATCCATTAATCTGCTTCTCGGCTGTCCTTCTGCTCTCATCAGTGCCGATGACAACCAGCTGAAAGGCAAAAGGCCACTTTGTGCAAGCGAAAGCAGATAAATATAAACACGCAAGACATGACTGCTCTCAGTTTTGTGATGCGACGCCTTCAGGTCTTTGACTCTGCAGAGTTACTCAAAACTCAATGAAGACATTAACGACTGTCAGCGGCGGAAGTAGTGGAACGACAAGATGTAAGATAGGGATGCTGCACGACCAACAACTAGCTTCCTGCTGTGGTTACCATGGTAACAGCCTAAAAAAAGAGGCCTGTGCCTGTTGTCTGCTGCGTGGGAGAGTCCCCCGAGTCCCCGCCGGCCCTGCGAGTCCACCTGCAGAAGAGGATCAGATTGAGGATTCCTCAGAGAGCGTGGCATTCAAAAGCCTTCTCAGAAATCTCCATGTCATGAATCACAGCAGAAAAGTGGCTGCCGTTACACTGCAGTGTCTTTAAAGCCAGCATTTGTCCAACAAATGCTGGTTTTTAATCCATTTATACTTACAAGGAGCTCCCTGGGACTCTTCAGAGAGACTGTTATTTTTCAAGGACAGATTAGAGGCTTTGACTTTTTGGGGGCCTTTTGACTAATTATGTGACTGTTGTTATCTTGACAGTCAGGAGGAGCCAGTTCAGCACACTTACATCAGACAGAATAACAGACTGGCAGGCAAACATGGTTCATCCAGCTATCTACTTCCCAAAAACTTCTGTTTCATAAGCACCCTTACTGACTAACCCCAAGGATACTTCATTAAAACACTTTAATGGTTAAAAACAGCCCTCTTCCAGTTGCTGCAAATTTGTTAACCGCACATCTATGATTCAAATCTCCTGCTCAGCCCAATCCCAAAGACTGGATTAAGATCTGGTGACTGTGAATGTCACTTGAGTACAGTAAACTGATCATCATGTTTAAGAGCTCAGTTCGAGCTTTGAGCTGATTTGACATGGTGTGTTGTCCTGCTGGAAGCGTCCATAAGAAGATGGGTTCACTTTGGTCATAAAGGGATGGACACTATCAGCAACCATACTCAGGTGGGCTGTGGTGTTTAAATGATGTGCAGTTGGTACCAAAGTGCACCAAGATAATGTCCCCCACAGATTATACCACCACTGCCAGCAAAACGTTTGATATGACGTAGGATGTATCCATGCCTTCATGGTGTTTACTCCGAAGTCTGATCCTACCATCTGAATGCTGTAGCAGAAAGTGTGACTCATCAGACCAGGAAATGTCTTTCCAGTCTTCTCTTGTCCAGTTTTGATGAACCTATGCAAACACATGCTGTGTGTTCAGAGGTGGCCCCCTGAATAATTTGGTTTTAATGACTGGTTATCTGAGTTAATGTTGCTTTCCCATTGCTTTAAGCAGTCTGGTCATTCACCTGTTGACCTCTGGCACCAACAATGCATTTTCACCTGCTCATTGGATATTTTCTCCTTTTCTGTAAACCCTAAAGATGGTTATGTGGGAAAATCCCAGAACATCAGCAGTTTCTAAAATACCATCGTGTCTGGAACCTATAAACATGCTGCAGTCAAAGTCATCTAAATGGCTTTGCATCCATATTCTGATGCTCAGTTTGAACTTCAGCAGTCCTTTATCATAGAGTTGCTGTCATGTGATTGGCTGATTAGATATTTACGTAAACAAACAGCTGAATAGATGCACCTGATAAAGTGGAAATTGAAAATAAAATTACTAGGGTGCAGATAATGTTTGAATTAAACCCATTAAAGCTAGTAAATATCTTCTTTATCCCAGTGTCTCTTCATCAAGCAGAGGACATGACTCTTCTTAGACTTCCTGTTTTTTTTATTCTGAAACTGCTAAAAATGATTAATGAGAATGATGTGTGCACCTCTCCCCATTAATAATCAAAACTGCAGCAATGCTGCTAAATCCCAAACAGCTGTATCCACACTGGAATGTCAGGCAGTAAATCACTTTTTCCTTTTGTCCGCAGACAACAAAACAAACCTAAACACAACATAATGCTATCAGCTTTGCTACGTGGTTGGCTGCTCACTCATTTGTCACATAAAAATGGGATTTAAGACATTTGACTCCAAACTTGAAAACAGCATTGTTTAGTGTGCTAGCAGGCAAAGGGCTACAATTACATGGAGCCCGTTCGAATGTTTTTTTTTAAAACTTAAACAGCAAAAAGTGATCAGTGATTTTAAATAATGAGACAAAAGCAACTGGATACCAGCTCTTTTAATGTTTCTGGCTATGCTTACATGCTTTCTCTGATGCCAACTATTCAGATGTAAGGAATAAAGGATGCTTTCTTTTTTAAAGCTGCCAGCTTTGAAACTGATCTAGTCCTCTCCGCGTAGTTAAAAAAACAAAAAACAAAACAAAAAACATGCTCTTAAATAATTAGAAATGAGACAATAAACAGTTATGGTGCTGGACAAGAACAGATAGCTGATGAGGAAGACAACCCAGGGCATATTCATCACTTTTGTGCATGTGAGACTGCTCCAATTAAATTCTTTTATGCAGATAATCACAGCCACCGTCAGTCAAACCTGATCAATCAGCAGATCAACGAGATAAGCTGAGTGCCAAATAATCATCCAAAATTACCTCGAGGTTCTCGTTCTCTTTAATTTACAAGCTCGACAAAAAGCCAAAAATGTCTTAAAAGAACGTTTTTGCAATAACTGCTGACAACTTTCTCTTAAAGTTGCAGCTATCTGTGAGACAGCGTTTTAATTTGCATCTAACAAAAATAGCAGTGACAACAGCTCACTGCAGCTCTGAAGCCAGCTCTTCATCTGGACCACGGTCAAAGCCAGATATTTGGTAAGCCTACCATCATCCTTCGCCTCCTTCTACTTCAGTCATCAGCTATTTGATATATTTGAGCCTTTGTTTTCATGTAACACTCCTTCCCCATCCACCTGCCTGCATCGCGAGGCTTTAGCATTTTTCGCTTATTACTATAGAAGATCCAAAGCGTCTATATACAAGAAATGCAAAAAAGGTACTCAAGATAGTCCTTGTGTATATATGCTCTGAAGGGGGCTGAAATTCTACCTGCATGTGCATATTTTTTCATAAATTTAATTGCTGATCAGAATCAGAATACTTTATTAACCCCAGAGGAAATGACGTTTTCCCAGTTGCTCCAAGACAGTATCAAAGAGAGAGCCAGAACAGAAACATCTCTTCAAGTACATCTAAGCAGGGTTCAAGGATAATTTTCCAAATCTCAGCTTCCATAGTGTGCAATAAACTGGAAATCCAGCATTTTTAAATGGATCCACCCCCAAGGTTGTTTAGAAAACGCTTGATTTTAAAGGGATTTCATTCGCCATCCATCATGTTATCGATCATGTCTTCAGCTGTTGTCAAAAATGTCTGTAAGAACATGTTTTAGCTTCATGTACTAAAGCAAAGAGCTGCACCTTTTATAGATATGAGGTGAAGTAACAGCCTTGATCTATTCTCTCGGAGAAGGTGGATTAAAGGAAACAGATGAATCAGAGTCCGCCAAAGCTCTGAGACATCTTAAAGCAGATGCATCATCTACTCTCTGCAGCTCTTTTGTGCATTTGGCAAAATCTGTTTAAACAAATTCACATGAAGCTCTTCGAGAGCTCAAAAGACTCTCCCTGTACTTCACAACAGTCTTTTCGGAAGTTATGTAAAGTTCAGTGTCATCACTGGATGACAGCTTTGATATAAATAGACATGAAAGGATCTATAAATAGATGTGTGACTATTTTCATGTGATCCCATCTTGTCTCCAAATCTTCTATTTCAAGAAAAATGAACAAATATATTTTGCCCATCTTTAGAGAGACTCAGGAAGGAGAATTTCGATGTCTTGTTTGTTTATATCTGCATGGCACCTAACAGCATGTGGGAAGGAAGCAGGAGCTGAGTTCAGTCAGGGAATACGTAATTAGATCGGTCAGTTTTCCTAGAATGACAAGGCAGCTTCAGCCGAGGACCCAACAAACAATTATCTCTCCTCACAGCAATTTCCGATTATGGGCGTTTTTGTGGAGTTGTTTGTGTGTGTATGTGTGCGTGTATGTCTGATAATTGAGTCATCCGACATGCTAGGGGATAAAAACGACTTTCATTCGCAAACATCTAAATGTCATGTTTTAGATGAAAATCACAAACACTGCGTTCAGGAAAATGACATCTCACATGTAAAAAGTGTACGTCAGCGGTGCCAGAATGCAGGGCGACAAAATTAGGAGTTAAGTCAGTTAAACATGGAGAAATTAACGTCCTCGTAAGCGTTTGTATCGACAAATCAGTCATTTTTCAGCGGAGTGGAGAAGTGACTCACTGCGATTGTTCTTTTGTCACGCTATTCCTTCTTACATTGGATCTGACATTTAAAGTGGAATGATTGCGTTCACGCAAAAGGCTTCGCTGTGCAAAAGCAATTAAGCCTCAGAGGTTATTACATTCATCAGTCAAGAAAGTGTGGAGTCCATCGGATAGGATAATTATTGAAGAGGAGAACAAATGTTCTGGGTTTCAGTTTATTTTGTATTCCAGGTCCCTTTGTTTTC